GTGTTCCTTCCGCATTTGGGGTCCCTCTTTTTTATTTTTTGGGGGAGTCCTTCCACATTTGGAGGGGGTTTGAGGGAGCTTTGAGATTTTTGGGGATCCTTCCTCAATTTAATTTTTTCCCCCCCTCAGATTCGGTACCGGAAAGACAAAGGGGCTCCCCCGGCGCCTCCCCCGTTCCCTCCCGTGAGGGGGCTCCAGGATTTGGCCAGCGGGGGGGTCCTGGCGGCCGCCATTCACTTCTACTGCCCCCAATCTTTGCGCCTCGAGGGTGAGGAAAGGTTTTTTGGGGGATTTTGGGGGGATTTTGGGGGTTTTTTTTGGGAAAAGGGTTGGGGGGGTTCCAAGCAACGAACCTGAGGGACGGATCCGCTGGGGGGCGCTGTGGGGCGGCTGGACCGAACCAATCTGAGGGGGATCTTGGGGGTCCCATTGGGAAATTTAGAGGGGGGGGTCCTAATGGGGAGGGGTCTTTGGGAGGGTTTTTAGGGGAGTTGTTGAGTTGATGGTGGGGGTCCTGAGGAGTTTTTTTGGGGGGTTTTTCCAGAAACCTCCAAATCCTGGAATTTTCCGGTGATCCGGGGGGGGGGTCCTATAGGATCCTATAGGGAAAATAGGGAATAATTCCAATAAGGGAAGCCGTGAGGGGTCTTTGGGTGGTTTTGGGTTCAATGTGAGGTCACAAAGTGGGGGATCCGAGGGGTTTTTGGGGTCGCTTTTAGGGGGTGTGACACCCCCCCCCCTCAAATTTTCCAGCGATCCGGACAGTCCCAACCTGAGGGCGCCAAGGGGGGGGGGGGGGGGGGACCGAGTTAAAAACATAAAAACCGGGGGGGGGGTCCTAATAGGGAGCTCCCAATGGAGAAACCCCATAGAGGGGACATCCCATTAAATGGGCGGGGGGGTTTTAGGATCGGTTTTGGGGTGCGACCCCCACACAAACACCCCACAACCCCCCCCTTTTTTTTTTTTGGCGGGAATTTTGCAGAGATCCGCCTGGGGGCGCCGCTGGCGCTGCCGGACCGGCTGCACAACCTGGGGCTCGTGCGCGACTTCGGCGCGCGCCACCTGCGCACGCGCTGCCCCCTGGCGGTGGAGGACCTGCTCTACATGGCGCCGGCCCTCAAGGTAAACTGGGGATAAACTGGGAGGGGACTGGGTTAAACTGGGGGGAAATGGGATAAACTGGGGGGAAATGGGGGAAACTGGGAGAAATTCGGTGAGCTGGGAGGGGATGGAGGCGGTGAGGCCAATGGGGCAACATGGCGGCCTGTCCTGAGGGGGAGACTGGGGAGAAACTGGGTTAAACTGGGGGGAAATGGGGGAAACTGGGAGAAATTCGGTGAGCTGGGAGGGGATGGAGGCGGTGAGGGCAATGGGGCAACATGGCGGCCTGTCCTGAGGGGGAGACTGGGGAGAAACTGGGTTAAACTGGGTGAAACT